TACAAGTTAGTGCTTCCACTCTCCCCGTCAAGTCCGGTTTGAACTGACTGACCCTTGAAGGATGGAGAGTTTAGGCAGTTCGCTGGATTCGATCCAGGTTTGACCCCAGGCAGCGCGCGTTGTTAAAGGTAGAGCCCGCGATTGCCTATTATTATACTCCTTATCCCTGAGTCGGGGTAGGCGGGGCATTTGGACATGGCATAGGATGGGTTACTCGTGGGATATTTCAACTCGAGACAACTGCCATCTTGTTCTATGGTGGACAGAGACATGACCACAATTGTTTCAAAATGAAAATATCTCACCAGAAGCACAGCCACCGCCACGTTAAGCTTGAAGTACGCAGCCACGCCTACCGCATCCTAGGGAATTCAAGTGTACCTAAACTCTCCACAGGGAATGGTAGTGTGAACTATAGTGAACAACCCTGTATGATTATTATACTGTAATGGGGTTTTTCTAAATGAACATTCAACTATTGCGTAGAATAGAATGCGATAAATCGAGTAGAATAAACTACAGTTTCAATATGGGTGGGCTCGAAGAGTTGGCTTTGTTTCCGCTTCGCACGTACCCTTAGACGAAAACCAAGCGACTATATCAGTTTCGCGTCAGAAAGTGGTAAGGTAGCAGCAGTAAGGCACAAGAATGCTCAAGTGACTCCGCCCACGTTGATAGATGTCTTACTTGCTGTCTTTCTCGTTTGCATGCTCCCTCGCTGCTTCCTCTGGCCTCTCGCCCAATATCCACATCGAGTAATCATCTTTTGTTTAGGAGCTTATTGAGAGCGTTTCGTCGTTTCCTCTCCTTTTTCTTCACGGGCAAAGTCCAACTAGCAGATACATCTTTCCCACTACCTACGAACTTTTCGCTGGCTCATCGGAAACTCTGCTTCTAATAGTGTCCTTTGCCATTTCACAGTGCACACCACAGCCATGCGAAAACCACTCAATAGGTCGCCGCTACAGTAGGACTGTGCCTGGTTATATAGCGCCCTGAAATGAGAAAGACCAACTAGAGAAATAACAAATAGGACCTGCTGCGTCGTGGAACTCACACCATTATGTGCCCTGCCACCATCACCCAACCTCTAGTTACACTACACGAAAGCTGTTGGCCTGGGAAAGGATCTGCACCAGGTACCCCAAACCATTTCTAACCTCCCTATGTAGGTAACTCCAGTGAACCTAAGGCTGCGTTCATATTTTGCGGTTTTTTATTTTATTATATTTATTTTGCACCAGCTTTCGTTACGAGCGTCCGTCAGTGACTAGGAATGTATAAATATCGATGTAGCGAACGGCAGCTTCGACCAGCGTCTACCAGCGTCCGCCGCAACCATTTCGAGGGACTAGGAGAGTATGGATATCGACCCAGCGTCTGCCAGCGTCCATCAGCGTCCACCGACGACCTGGCGGAAAGTATGGGGGAATAAGACGGTAGCAGACTGCTATTAAAGTATGGGGGCAGAAGACAGCTGGATTAGGCGTAGTGAAACTGTGGCGTGTGCAGCGGTATTGTGCAATACCGTTTTCCTGGTCTCTGGTGGACGCGGGTGATCGCTGGTGGACGCTGGTGGACGCTGCCCCAAAATATGAACACAGACCAACATGACACCCCTTGCCCTGCAGTGCGGATTCCGCAGCGTACGCTCAAGTTTGGCAAAGGTTTCTTTGTGAGTTTTTTACCTGGAAAACTTTTAAATGTCATTTGGAAAAGACTAGAAGAATCCCTTATGAGTGCGCTTTTTGCACAGCATAGTAGATTATTTGTTCTTCATGGAGTCTTGAATAATAAATTGCTTTTTCCGTATATTTTGCATAGCAGCAGGGGATATAGCATTTGCATCTTGCTGGGCAGAGAAAGATGCTCATTATTTATAAACAAAGAATCACAAATACGCAGTATTTCGGGAATAGTACGTGTAACAGGATCAAAGCTTCCCTTCCTAATCGGGTATCTCTTTTGCGACACGGACTCTCAACGAATTTGAAGAAGCGTTCGCCTAGACTAATAGTGACTAGCCAGCGTACAAGTTGATGGTTCTAGCTTCTCAGACAGGGTTTCTGCTAACTAAAAGACCCACGGAGAGATGGTGAGGCTCAAAGACACCGTGAGCCGGGAGCGTCGATCCGGATTGACGTTTGAACACTGATTCGTAAGTAGGCTTCGCCACTCTCCGATTACACCCATATCCGCTCGAAGGTATAGTACGTTTGCTCCTATACTAAGTATAAAGGTCTGCCAATCGTTCTGAGCGCTCTACTTTCAAGCGTATCTATAAAGACATTTTAAACTGGACTTCATATGTCTCACACGGCCAGGATCAAGGGCTTTATCACAACCAACACGTGCAGTTCTTCTGTTCTAATTTTAACTTTTCTTCAAGCGTCTTCGAAGTGATAAAGCTCAATCCAAAAGAGAAAATTCTCATAGACAGCAATTTGGCAAGCCGCGCCCTAAAGTCATTTCGCTGCCAGCAGCGCTAGAAAGATGTTAGGTGGAGAGAATCAGGGAGAGGGGGTTGACGGGCGGCGACATCCGTTCTCCACCACGATGTTGAAGCGGCAGGCACCTGGCAACACTGGCTGGTGCCGTGTTAGGACCGAGCAACCCCCCCCTTTCGCACTCCTGACACTGTCCCAGCCGGCGCTGAACCGTACTATAGTCCTTATTGTTTTGGATCGCTGAGAACACAAGCAATGAAAATTATGTCAAAATTATCTTACATGTGTTGTTCCTGCCGTCTTGTTCTTCTCTGACACCTGGAAAGTTTTGGAGAAATAGCAAGCATCACTCTCACACTGACACAGAAAGCTAGTTCTTTGTTTTTCTGGTGACAGCGTCCGAAACTAAAGCTCACGCTCGCAACAGTTACCCTTAGGGTGGGCGGGGAACGGGGTGTAAGGGGCGGGGGGGGGGAGAAGTATGTCATTCAAATTGCGGATCGTCAACATGATACACCCCTTCCGTCCTCCACATCCGGAACTTCGGTGGAGATCACATAGGATGGTGTGTACAAGATCGATGATAAAATTATTTTAGGCGTCAAAGATTACCAGGAATTGAAGCAAGACATAAAAGGTGGTCCCGATTGAAGCGGGTCCAGCATAACCTTTTGTTCCACTTAGGGAAACGGTGGGAGTAGACATGCTGAACGCCAGGTCGTAGGCTGAAGCTAATGATCTTGGGGGAGGGGCATTGGAAAAAATTCTCGCGCGAAAGTGGGTATGAACTTATCCAGATAGATCCTCGAAGACAAAACCAAACAACCAGAAGAAATAGGGGGGGGGGGGCAAACAACTGCCGCCAAACTTTTCGTCGCCAATTCTTTCGAATAGCGTTTCTCCACGTTCTTGAAGAATGGATGCCTCTACACTGTGCCAATTCGCCAAATGCTCAATGGTTCCAGCTATAACCCTTAAATATCCAACAGTCATTTCAACGCGTTTTCGGTCAATACAGCGGTTAGCAGTGTGACTAGTTGACCAAACCCAATTAATACTGGCATCAGGGACTTCATGGTCACAAAGAAGCTTAGAGGTAAAACCTTAAGGCTGCGTTTATAGTTTGCGGTAGCGACACCTGCGACCACCATGACGTTTTTCGAGCTTCCGTCAACGTCAGCGACTAGGACAGGATATGATACTACGTGGGCAGGGGAGCAGCATCCTTGAAACGGCAATAAAAATAGGCGAATAATACATATTTACTATTTACTTCAATGTGGCCGGTTCAAACTGGTGTCCACTCAGTTCTCGCTCACTGGCGAAATCTAGTCAATTCAACGGGTGTGTTATGACTCGACCATTTTATCGACAATTACTGCGTGTTTTGTTTATCGGATGTCAGGTTGACTTGGTTTCATTTAACGCGTCGAGCCGGCATCTTGTAGTTTCTGAGCTTTCCCGGTGTATTTTTTTTAATTTTATGGGCGCACTCGAGTGTATGGAAATAAATGAATAAATAAATAAATATAGATCTTTCTAACGGTGCATCTACCAGCGTCCGGCAGTGACCAGGAGTAGAGGGTATGGGGAAGTAGGAGACCGACTGCTGGTAGAATATGGGGAAGTAAAAGGGAGGAGACAGCTGGATTAGGCGTCGTTGTGGGCGCGTGCAACCGCACCGTACTACTCTACAATACCATACTTCAGGTCGATGGTGGACGCTAGCTCGATATTCATACTTTCCTAGTCCCTCAAGACGCTAACGGACACTGTTGAACGCTGTTACACGCAGCCGCTCGCTGCCTCGAAGCCTATAGTTTCGTAGTCGCTGACGATGACGGACATTTAAAACGCTGATGGCCGAAGGTGGACGCTGCTGCAAACTGTAAACGCAGCCTAACGTAAAAGAACCTAGGACGATCATGACAGATAAGGCCCCATTCAACTTTAGAGCACATTCTACAGCCAAGAGTGTATGTGTCCTCCCTCCCACCCCCCTCTCCCCTCCAATGCCACACCAATCACGTTACTCAGCTAACAACAAGAGCGCTTCTCTGCACTGGTAGAAAACTAAGTAGCACCTTTCAGAATCACAAGGTACGACTTTCAGAACATTCGCAGGGAAAATGAACAAGAAACTTTGTCACCCGTACGCTGGCCATTGTCAAACAGTCCTTTATTTCCACGATTCCTTGAAGAGCAAGACCGCCTTTGTCAACATTTTGTACATCAGCTGTAAGAACCACAAAATTGATAAGATTCATACGTAATCCCAACAATAACAAGGAAGCCGAATCAGCACTCTACATAACCGCATAGTTTTCATTCCAGGAGAATTAGAAATCAGAAGAATAAAAGCACTCATAATCAAAACAGCAACAAAGGCGATAATAAATTATTCAAAACAAAGCACACGACATGTCACCAGACCAGAACAACGCATATCAACGATGGTGCATAGAAACGATGATTAAAATGACAATCCTCCTCATTAAAAATAACACCGACAACTTGGAAGGCAATCAATATCTTGACAATAATCATCTAACATTATGCGATAGAGGCCTGGGCGAATTTCAATGCCAATTCAACTGCTTCGTCTAATCGATCGACATTTTCACAGGTTGCCTAGAATACAACATTTTATAGCTATAAGATTCAGGTGCACTCTAGTTCGCTGCAGATGAAGGGGCGTGTCACGCAGTGTGACTGTGCCACGATTCCTTGAAGAGCAAGACCGCCTTTGTCAACATTTTGTACATCAGCTGTAAGAACCACAAAAAAGAACCAAGGCGCCAAAACCGTTCTCTGCCAGTTGTTAGGGCGGCTATGCGACTACTATTGGTAAGAAAGAAGTAATACGAACGATATGATACAGCGCTTCAGTGGTGGAGAATCGGTTTGGCACCGCGCCAAACCCATCTCGCCTGACAAATTCCATCGCCCACAGCGAACTAGACTATAGCTCTGGTGATGGCCGGTAAGGGCAGAGGGAGGATTAAAGGAAGCTAGATCTGAAAGCCTACAGCGTATGAACCAGAGCACAATTACCTGAGCATTAGCGTGTTTTCCACCACCGCGACCGCCAAGAACCGTGCACACCTCATTCACCCAGAGATTCGCCTTCAAGCCCC